TCAAGACCGGCCTCCTCAACGCCGAGCGGCTTGAGCTAGCGAGCGGGCTCCCCATTCCCTTCATGGATGGTGACCCTCATCCTCAAAATGAACGGCCCCTCGGCCTCAGCGTGATCATCTATCTCAAGACCGGCTTCCTAAATGCCGAGTCTTGAGATTGTATGACGATCGGCTTCATCATCGTCGTCGTCCTCAGATCACGAACGGCTCCTCAGCCTTGGCTTTATCCTTTATCTCAAGGTCGGCATCCTCAGCGGCGAGAGCCTTCACTATCAAAGGATGTGCGTCCAACGTCGTCCTCATCTTCAAACGAGCGCCCAGCGCCGTCCCTCACATTCAGACGAGCGCCCAGCGCCGTCCCTCATCATCATAACGGCTTCGCCGACGTCATGTTCAGTCTGGCGTCAACGCCTTGCCCTTCATCACATCACGACCGGCCCCTCGGATAAGGCGTGATTATCTATCTCAAGACCGGCCTCCTCAGTGTCGAGCGTCTTGAGCTAGCGAGCGGGCTCACCATTCCCTTCCTGGATGGTGACCCTCGTCCTCAAAATGAACGGCCCCTCGGCCTCAGCGTGATCATCTATCTCAAGACCGGCTTCCTGAATGCCGAGTCTTGAGATTGTATGACGATCGGCTTCATCATCGTCGTCGTCCTCAGATCACGAACGGCTCCTCAGCCTTGGCTTTATCCTTTATCTCAAGGCCGGCATCCTCAGCGACGAGAGCCTTCACTATCAAGGGACGTGCGTCCAACGTCGTCCTCATCTTCAAACGAGCGCCCAGCGCCGTCCCTCACATTCAGACGAGCGCCCAGCGCCGTCCCTCATCATCAGAACGGCTTCGCCGACGTCATGTTCAGTCTGCCGTCAACGCCTTGCCCTTCATCACATCACGACCGGCCCCTCGGACAAGGCGTGATTATCTATCTCAAGACTGGCCTCCTCAGCGCTGAGCGTCTTGAGCTAGCGAGCGGGCTCGCCATTCCCTTCCTGGATGGTGACCCTCGCCTTCATACGACGAGCGGCTTTATCAGTGCTCTCGTCCTCAGATCACGCCAGACCCCTCGGTCTTAACGTGATCCTTCATCTCAAGACCGGCCTCCTCAGCGCCGAGCGTCTTGAGCTAGCGAGCGGGCTCGCCATTCCCTTCCTGGATGGCGACCCTCGCCTTCATACGACGAGTGGCTTCATCAGCGCCCTCGTCCTTAGATCACACCAGACCCCTCGGTCTCAACGTGATCCTTCATCTCAAGACCGGCCTCCTCAGCGCCGAGCGTCTTGAGCTAGCGAGCAGGCTCGCCATTCCCTTCCTGGATGGCGACCCTCTCCTTCATACGACGAGCGGCTTCATCAGCGCCCTCGTCCTCAGATTACGGCAAACCCCTCGGTCTCAACGTGATCCTTCATCTCAAGGCCGGCCTCCTCAGCGCCGAGTGTCTTGAGCCAATGATCGGGCTCTCCATCCCTTCCAGGACGGGGACCATCGTCCCTACCTGAAGAACGATTTCATCATCGCATCATCCTCAGATCATGAACGGCCTCCCAGCCTCTGCGTGATCCTACATCTCAAAGACCGGTCTTAGCCATTCCTTTACCGGATGGCGACCGTTGCATGGATTTTGGACCGGCCCCTCAGTGTCGTCGTCCTCATATCTCGACACCAGCCCCCAATGCTGAGGTACTATTATAGCGACCGTGCTCGCCATTCCCTTCCTGGATAGCAACCGTCGCCTTCATATGACGCACGGCTCATTACCACCGTCGTCCTCATATTCAGACAGGCATCTATCGCCTCGTCCTCATATTCGGACCGGCTCATCAGCGCCGTCTCCCTCACCACTAGGCGGGCGTCCCCTCAGCAGACGGACACCGCTGCAGCTCCACACCTAGGCCGAAGGGTTCACCCCTTGGAGTTCATTTTGGGGGATCCGGTTTGCTCTTTTCCCCTCATTAGGATTTTTTCCCACAGGGTTTTTTCTAATGAGGTTTTTAATGAGGCATCGCCCCATTGTGGATCAAAAGGTGTCGACCCTCGGCCCCCTATTGAAGATGTGTCTTGCTCTACTCCTCTTCAACTCACTACATGAGCCTCGAGGAGTGGGGGACTGGGGGACTACATCGGCCTCCACATACATGAAAACATTCAGAAAGCAAAAACAAGCAAGGACTACCGAGTGGTACCTCCGTCGGCCATGTCTTCATCGTCCAGAAGAAGGTCTGGGGGACTACATCAGCCTTCAGCGTAAAGATAAACAAATTCAAAATCCAACGAACACAAGCCCATGACAATGACACCTCAACGTCCAACAACCATGTGTTCACCCTTCGGCCATGCCGAAGCGCAAAGCAGGACGCACATCGTCCTCAATGTCAAGGACACACATCGTCCTAAAGATCAAGGGCATGTATCATCCTCAAAACGAAGGACATTCATCGTCCTCAAGATGAAGGACACTAATCGTCCTCAAAACGAAGGACATTCATCGTCCTCAAATTGAAGGACATTCATCGTTCTCAAAATGAAGGACATTCATCATCCTCAAAACGAAGCACATTCATCGTCCTCAAAATGAAGGACATTCATCGTTCTCAAAATGAAGGACAATCATTGTCCTCGAAATGAAGGGCATTCTTCGTCCTCAGAATGAAGAACATTCACCGTGCTCGAAATGAAGGACAAGGCAGCCAACAAATATGGCACCGCCTCGGCCAGGAACACTACAATTCCCAGGTAATCCTCTGTCGGCCAAAGCGTCAGAACAACAAGGATCTACTCCCTTTCACTTCGTCTACACCTCAGCTCAGAGAGTGGGGGACTCCTCATGGAGTATATGGGTCCAGACCCCATGACCCACATACTCAGAAGACTAAGAGGAAGCGCAGCTGTCACCCAGTGGGTCCTCCATCGGCCAGGTGGCCCTCCATCAGCCGTAGAAGAGTCGATCCAGAATACGGTCCATAAGCCAAGGAGAAGAAATGTCCTCCGTCGGCCGGTGCCCCCGTTGGCCAGAGCCTCCATCGGTCGATGCCCCCGTCGGCCGGTGCCTCCATCGGCCGGTGCCCCCGTCGGCCGGTGCCTCAGTCAGCCGGTGCCTCCGTCGGCCGGTGCCCCCGTCGGCCGGTGCCTCCGTCGGCCGGCGCCCCCGTTGGCCAAGCAACAGTCAGCTCAGAATATGGCCCAGGCAGCAATCAACTCGAATGGTCCTCCATCGGCCGTGTCTCCATCGGCCAGGCGCCTCCTTCGGCCGAACCTCCTTCGGCCACAGAGAACTCCCAAAATCGGATTTCATACTTAGTTATTTTTACACTCTTTGTACTCGGCCCAGTAGTGGCCCAATTGTAAATGGGCCTCCCAAGCCCAAGACTTGAGAGCCCAGCCCTAATTTTTCCTATAAATACTCCCTCTGGGAGTAGTTGTAAGGGTTCAGAATTCATTAATACAAATCAAATATACTACTTCTCTCTCTAGCTCTCACTTCTCTCTAGATATATACTCTATCACTTATATTTCGCTATGTGTTTAATTGTATGTTGATGTTGTTATGTATGTTTACTAATCGGTTTTGGCATATGTGTCTATCGGACGTCTTGTGCAATTTAGTAAGGATGAACTGCGGTTATTTTTATTGGATTGTACGACGGTTGTCTACGTGGCACAGACGCGGTCTGGGGCGTGACAAGACCAGACTTGGATAGTTATAAAAATACAAAGAAATCAGATCAGACCAATTCAGACCAGACCAAACCAGACCAGCAAATTACGGTACAAGTAAAAACATAATAACAAACCGTTGAAGCTTGAAAGTACTATTAGAGGCAATGTATAGAATACTCAATTAATATAAAAGATTATGCACTTTTCTTCCAATAAAAGCAACCTCATCCAATAGTATTAGTCAATTAGGATAAAACTATGCTCAAGTCTAAATACGATATATTAAATGAAAATTCAATTGTGGTTTGATGTCTGACGGCTAGTTTGATATTAATAAGAATGATTTTATTTGGACTGAAATTTGATAATAAGGTTTGATTTGTTTTGTTTAAATCTAGTTTGCTCTTGTTTGATCTGATCTGATCTAGTTGAATGATCTGGTTTGGTAAATATCTAGTCTTTATGAATTTTTTAATTACTATGAAAGTTTGATCTGATCTGAGTTTATCTTGTTTGTTTAAGTTTGATATGATTTGATTTGATCTAGTAAACTAAAAACATCCTCATGTGTTTACGTTTGTTTAAACCATTTAATTTAATTATCCCCACAAATCGTTTAGAGTTATAACCGATGACTTCATATCCGTCTCATCGGGAGAGAATTTTCAATGTATTGCCTTGGAAAAATACGAGTAATAATTACATACTACATATGAGATGTTGAATTATTTTTCACATCACATAAACGTCTTAGGAGAAGGAATTGCGTTAATAAAAACTAATACGATAATATTTCATATTTAAAAAAATCATTTTGATAACTAAAGTATGTAGTACACTCGTATATATAGGCTATACGATCGATCATCTATATTTCAAGTCTTCAAGCAACACACTTCTCAAATACCATTATCTATATTTTTCCTTAGTCATTATAATGTGAGCATCCATTTGTAAAAGAGAAATATCAAGTGCTTTTAGTCTATTATTATTAGAATTAAATAAGTTTATTTTAAGAAAAATATAATAAATGTTATTTGTGCATATGATATACTCTGTGTATATTTAAGTATGTCCGTCTATTTAAGTCTGATGAGTTCTTTCCTAATTAATACTGAGTATTAACAAAATCTTTGGACACGTAGATTTAGAAAATGAGTAAAAAATAAGTTATCTATTATCTCGTGCGACCAGTGTGGGTGATGTGAAATTAAGTTCACAAATTATCCTGAAGAAAGTCTTGTTGGTGCCTGGACTAAAGTGTAACCTTATATCTATAGCACGTTTAATTGACGATCAGAAATACGATATATATTTTACTAATCAGTTATGTGTGATACAAGATCTGTCTACAAGGACGCATATTGGAGCGGGTAGACGACACGGAGGAGTATATTATTTTCACGGTTTGGATACAGTGGTTGCGCACCAAATAACGAAGCATGACTCAAGTGACTTGTGGCACTCTCAGTTAGGACACCCGTCCTTAAAAGTGATGTGTTCTATATTTCGTTTTAATAAATTTGGATTTGTTGATGATTTGAATAAAGTATGTGATGCATGTTTGAGAGGTAAACAGACTCGAGAAATGTTTCAACTTAATAATACTAGAGCAGTGGAACCTTTTGAGTTAATACATTGTGATGTGTGGGGTCCCTATCGGATACCTTCTTTGTGTGGTACTCGTTATTTCTTGACTGTGGTTGATGATTTTTCACGGGCGGTTTGGGTGCACTTGATGAAATCAAAAGATGAAGTAAGAAATATTCTTAAACAATTTTGTGCTCTGACCAAACGTCAATTTGATAAAAATGTGAAGGTAGTACGGAGTGACAATGGAACAGAATTTTTAAGTTTGAAAAATTACTTTCTTGATAATGGTATAATCCATCAAACTTCTTGTGTGTATACCCCGCAACAAAATGGAAGGGTGGAAAGAAAGCACTGACACATTTTAGAAATGGCACGAGCCCTACGTTTTCATGCAAATTTACCACTTGATTTTCTAGGGTGAGTGTATTTTGGCAGCTGGATATTTAATTAATCGATTGCCCACTCTGACTCACAAAAGTCCCTATGAGATGTTGTATAAGAAAGCGCCAGAATATGACCATTTGCGGGTTTTTGGGTGCTTATCTTATGCGCATGTTCCAAATATTCGTGACAAATTTAATCCAAGGAGTGTAAAGTCTGTTTTTCTGGGTATGCTGGGATGTACATTTTGTCGAAACAAAATTTTCCTATAAGGAGAATGACACATCACCTGCTGATGATAAGGAGGATCATCACTCATGGGAATCTAGAACTGCAGGGGCTATTCCACATGAACCACCGTCTAGGGAAAACCATCAAGAAAATGGAGATGGCAGTTCCATTTCAAGGGAAAAGTTAGTGGACGGACATGATGGAGTTGAATCGCTCAATTCCACTTCTGCAGCGGAGGAAGACCAACGGGAATTGGCTCTGCATGAAAATAATTCTTCAACTCACGTGGCACGTAGAGGAGAACGCACATGGCAGAAACCTCTCTGGCATTCCGATTATGAAGTTCAGCTGCATACCGTGAAAACAAATACTCCGCCCGTCGATTATCATGACGCGGTTCGTGATCCACACAGGCAAGAGGCGATGCAGCGGGAAATTGACGCTCTGGAGCGTAATGGAACGTGGAGAATACAAAAATTGCCACTCAGAAAAAAGCCTATATTTTGTAAGTGGGTTTTTAAAATTAAATACAAGAGTGATGGCAGTATAGACCGATATAAGGCTCGTCTAGTGGTTTGTGGTAATAGACAAGTGCAGGGAATTGATCATCATGAGACATTCGCATCAGTGGCAAAGATGGTTACTGTTCGAACTATTATGGCAGTTGCAGCATGTAGAAACTGGGAGATGCACCAAATGGATGTGGATAATGCATTTTTGCATGGTGATTTAGATGAAGAAGTTTACATGCATCCACCACCTGGCTATTCGATCAGCCTCTCCAGGCCATGTGTGTAAACTGCTTCGATCCTTGTATGGGCTGCGTCAGGCACCTCGCTGGTTGTTCTCTAAACTAACAGGAGCTCTTCGATCTTATGGCTTTCGTCAGTCTTATGCTGACTACTCTCTTTTTACTTTGTGTCGTCCTGATAAAATTTTGTGTGTTTTGGTTTATGTGGATGATCTTCTCATTACAGGAAATTGTCATGACATGATTGTTCATTATTTCAAACAATTTTTGGATACTTTCTTTCCGATCAAGGATTTGGGCACTATGAAATATTTATTGGGAATTGAAGTGGCAAGGAATTTCAGTGGTATTTTTTTATGCCAACGCAAGTATGTGCTATATATCTTGAGTGAAACTGGTTTGAGTGGAGCTAAACCAGTCACATTTCCTATGGTGCAAAATCATCAATTGCAACGAGACACATGCCCTTTTTTCCGATCCTGATCGATTTCGTAGGCTTGTTGGGAAGCTTATTTATTTAACACTCACGCGGTCCGATATCAGCTATTCAGTTCATATTCTTTCACAGTTTATGCAGGCACCACGTGTCTCACACTGGGAATTGAAGCTGTAGTACGCGTATTAAGATATCTCAAAGGTCACACGGGCCAAGGTATTCTCCTTCGGAGTGACTCCTCGCTAGTCGCTTTCCTTAGTGGGGTATTGTGATTCAAACTGGGCTAGTTGTCCTATCACACGACGATCCATATCTGGATACTTTGTCCTCCTAGGTGATTCACCTATCTCGTGGTGTACAAAGAAACAAATTACTGTCTCTAGATCTTCAGCCGAAGCTGAGTACCGCTCCATGGCCTATCTTACTTGTGAACTCATGTGGCTTAAAAGCTTACTTTCTTCCTTAGGTGTTACACAGGATCGACCTATCCCTGTCTTTTGTGACAATCAGGCCGCTTTGCATATTGCCTCCAATCCTGTTTTTCATGAGCAGACCAAGCATATCGAAATTGATTGTCATTTCTTGTGGGATCATGTTCAAGCTGGCACCATTAATCCTGTTCATCGGTCCACCTTTGAGCAATTGGCTGATATTTTTACAAAGGCTCTTGGGGTGCACCAATTTGGTTATCTTCTTTTCAAGATGAGCATTCGAGATCCTCATGCTCCATCTTGAGGGGGTGTTCGGTCCTATATTTTTCCGTCAATACGTCCTACGCATGCATGCAACATCTCACACATGCACATGATGCACGAGTCTCTATTTATCTATTTATTTATTTATTTTATTCCATTTATGTTGTATTTATCTTCTTAGTCTTTGTAGTCGTAAGTAGTGCATATATAGTTGTAATTATTATCAGGTTGTTTACTTTAGTTCCCAAGTGTATATATTCCTTAAGCATGTAACTGTACAGGACGATGGAATAAAAATCATTATTCATACGTACAGAACTTTTCAAGTTCTGAAATTAGATCTAAGTAAAAAAAGGAAAAGAAATATGAATGAATGTAAGATTGTTTGCTTAAAAAGGAAAAGTACGTTTTATATAGTTTATAAAAGAAATACATAACTGTTATTTTGGGACCTTAAGTATAATAAACTTCATACACAATTTCTTGCGACGACTTTGTATAAGTAATCAAGTATACAACTAATTACTTGCGACGACTTTGTAAAAGTATATAATTGCTCTCTAGAAAATAAACTATAGGTTACTTTTGACTCCTAATGACACGAATGTAGTAGCTAGTTTCCACACGCAAGAGGAAGAATTTATATTTCCAACTTCCAACTAATTTATGAACCCGTTTCTTTCAACCTACCATTCACACAACCACACCACCAATTAAGCAGGAACGAAAATTCAGTATGCTTTGTTTTTTAATTGTTCAATTATGTTTTACCTGGAATTTTAGCAGCAATGAATGGTCACATGGTGTAACGAAAATGAAAGAAATAGGGAGAACTATCAAATAAGCCCTCGAACTATCATAAAAACTGCAAATAAACCCTTTTATAGGAGGCTCTGTCCGGCCGTCGCCATTTGGGGCGGTTTCTGGTGTAATTTTTTGATGAATTTTTTTAGAATCTTCTTCATTAAGTCTAGTTTACTCATACCAAAATTTCAGCTAAAAATTCAATCGAGAAGTCAGTCAAATGAATTTTTGAAGATAACTGCGCATTTAGACAGCGCGGTATATTTCAAAAAATTATTTGATTGACTTCTCGATTGACTTTTTAGCTGAAATTTGGTATGGGTAAACTAGACTTAAGAAAATGCTCAAAAATTTTCATCAAAAAATTCCACCGTAAACCGCCTCAAATGGCGACAGCAGGACAAAGCCTCCTGTAAAAGGGCTTATTTGCACTTTTTATGAAAGTTTGAGGGCTTATTTGATAGTTCTCCCAAAATATCATAAAAAAGATGGGAAAAGGTTAAGAACTTAAGATGAATAGTGAATTATTTCTTTTTGAAAGTATGAATAGCGAATCATTATATCTTTAATTTATTTGTAGTTATAACAGAAAAAGAAGTGAGAAAGGTATTGAATAATGAAAATAAAGTCATGCAACAAGTACAAACGGAAGTCAAATTAGAGAGAAGAAAATCATCATCAAATGTGAACAAAATAATAATGAGTTAATGCTTCAAATAGGACTAATAGCAAAGTTAATTGCACATTTAGGACTATAAACGAAACACAAATTTCATAGGACCAATTTCAACTTAGTTGGACAAAAATAACCCTCCTTTAATATTTTTGATTTTGAAAATGAAAAATAAAAAACTGTTGAAACCCTAAATTGTCAACTGCTAGCAGCAACATGCCAGAGTCGGAGCCGCCCACCGCCGACTGCCGCTACCCTCACCGCCGCCGCCGACTGCCGCCTCCGTCGACCGTCGTCCTTGCCGCCCCCCGCCGCATCCCTGTTGGTGCATCGTTTCCATCTGTCGCCGCCCAAACGGCGTCACCATCCGCCTCCGCCGCCGCCGCCGCCATCCTATCTTTATCATTGCCGCCGATGTTCAATCCAGGGCGCCACTTCACCTCCGAGCACCGCCGCCGCCATCATAGCCCACCACCGTAAATTTGCCATTAAGTTGGCAGATTTGACTTTGAAGAGTACTTAAAATCTGCCTTGAAAACAAATTTTCAAATCTGCCATAAATTTGGCAAATTTATCTTGAATGATTTACACAAAACTGCCATAATCTTGGCAAAATATGAAGTCCACAGCTAAATTTTCAAAAAAAAAATAGAACAATAACTTTAACAGAAATAAGAATTTAATGACAAAAAATAAAAAAACGATTTACACAAAAAATGTTTTGCCATAATATGATTGTCATAAATTTGGCATAGATTTTCCCGTCTATTATACCCGTCTATAGAGAACGCTAGTTGGATATCCGACATAAGGGATACTCCCTTTGGCATAATAGACTGGACACTAGAAACTCATCATTTTCCCAGTTTTTCCATTACAACGAGCGAACTTCGAGAATCAATTTCTCATTCACCCGTTATCCATTTTGAGCGTACCATATATCGAATTGTAGCCCTTAACAAGGACAATCCGAAACCACTTTGACCCGACCCAAATCGGAAGTGGACCCCACTCAAATAATTGCCCCAAAATGACCATTTAATGCAATT